CCTCTCCTCCTCCTCCCTCCTCTCCCTCCCCCTCCCCCTCTTCCTCATCATCATTTCCCCTCCTCCTATTTCCTCCTCCGCCTCCTCCTCCTCCTCCACCTCCTCTTCCTCCTCCTCCTCCTCCTCCTCCCCCCTCCTCCGCCTTTTCGGGTTGGTTCGGGGTCACGAGGGAAAAACATATTCATATGTTCACGCTCTCGCGGTCTGGATACCCAGACCTCCTCGCGGCAGGAAAGGTCTTGGTCGTGGTCTGCATACCGAGGCGCGACCCGTGGATGCGCGATCCCATGGCTATGGCCCGCGCGGGGCATCGGCTCAGGGCCACTTCCCATCCCTGGGGGGCGCGGCCGATGAGTCTGGACCGCGAGGCCGTGGACGTGGGCAGGTATGTAGAGGCCTCCCAGATGGGGTCGCAGGCTCGCGCCGCATTGCCGATGCCCATGCATCGGCGGTGCAGCGCCGATGCAATGGCGATGCGCCGGCGACGTCGGCAAGGCGTCGGCGCCGTCGGCATGGAGGCAGTCGGGCTCCACATCGAGCCGCACCGCCGACGCATCGGCGATGCGGCGCCACCCTCCGACCCCAGCCGCCCGGACCCCCTCCAGGAGGCCTCGAGCTGAGGGGGGGGCCTGGCACCGACGCCGCATCGCCGATGGATCGGCCGCAGCGGGCCCCGACGGCGAAGCCGCTCGCTCTGGGGCGGGGCGGGGCACATGCGGCCTGGTGGACCTGCGGCCGATGGCCCCCCCGTCAGCCAATCCTCCCTTCTAGGGAGCCCACGAAAAAGGCGTCCGCGCCCAACCACGGACACGAATACGGCCCCCCAGTCCGCGAGACCAGCCTCGTGGTACGAACGTTCACGCAACGCGCCCTTTCGAAAACAACGTGGACCCATGCACGTATACGTCCTTCTTTCGTTCCTGGCTTTCGGCGCCCCAGATCACCGCGTTGACCGCCTCGAAGCAGCCGAGGTCGGCCACCTGTAGCTCCATGATCACACAGCCGTCGTCGCCGACATCGCCGTCGTCGTCGCTGCTGCCGTCCTAGTCGTCGCTACCGTCGTCGTCGCCGAGAAAGACCCGCTCAAAATCGTCCCACAAGACCCCGCCCTGGGCTCATCCTGGCCAGCCTTTCGAGCCGCGTCCGGCCGCGGCGACGAGGGCCTCCAGAAATGTCTGAAAGCTTCCGAAACGTCGTCGTCGTCGTCGTCGTCGTCGTCGTCTTTATCGTCGTCGTCGTTATCGTCGTCGTCGTCGTCGTCGTCGAAGTGGTCGGCCACCTGCAGTTCGACGAACACGGCGTCCCGCAGGCCGCGGCCGTGCGCATCCCGCAGCCAAGCGGCGACCGCCCCCAGCACAGAGTCGCACTGTTCGTCTGGCCGGCCCTGCGGCTCCAGGCCCAACGAGAAAACGTCCAGCGACGAAGACGCCAGGAGGTGCCCCGCCCGGGCCAGGCAGGGCGGAGCGCCTCCTGTGGCGGCAGGGGTGCGACGGCGCCCCCAGCGAGGAGGAAGCCATGAGACGCCCCGCCCGAGCGGGCGCTAGGCAGAGCGCCTCCCGCAGTAGCGGGGGCACGGGTGTTCTTGGCCATATCCCTGTTCTGGTAGCCCCCCGAAGCGCTTCTTGTTGCCCAGAACAAATCCAGACCTCCCAGCGGGTCCATATTCGCCCCCTCTCGTCTAAAGGTTCGAGATTTGAATGCTTACTTTAGCTGCCAATTCCGCCCCCCGTGTTGTCACGGCTGGGTCCAGCTCGAGAAGCTGGCCAAGATGAGCTCTGGGATGGGTCCGGACAACCGATATTACGTGGACCGAGAATGTAACCCCTCACATTTTTGCGTCGCGCACCAATCGACATGTGCGCGGCGCTAAGGTGAGAACCACATTTGGACAACGAGTCGCCCTCAATCCGTGAAGCTCTTGAAATTTTCAAAACAATTGTGCGCGGCGCTAAGGCGAGCGCCACATTTCGAAAACGACCTGCCTTCCACCTGTGAAGCTATTGCCAGTATTAGAAATTCAGAATCGCAAGTGGTGAGGACGTCTCAGGCGAAACGCCCTGCCCGCCCTAAAAACTGGCCTCGGGGTGCGACAGGGAGAAATTTATCTATAAGGAACGGAAGGGAGGAGGAGGAGGAGGAGGAGGAGGAGGAGGAGGAGGAGGAAGAGGAGGAGGAGGAGGAGGAGGCCTCGTGCCATCAAGATGGTCTGTCGACTTACTCTAGAGACGCGGACGATGAGGCTGTGGCCTCATTGGTTGAACGTTCGCACAGTCGTAAAAGCCGAAATCGAGCTGGTGGAAATCCCTTGACTCGGGCCTCCGCGCTTCTGAATGCGCTGCAGCTCCTGGACTTCGGCCAGCAGTCTCTTCTCCTCGTGCAGCGGGAGGGCGTCGGTCCAGAGCTTGGGCTCGATGCTCGCGATCCTCTGGGCGAGGTCCTCATTGCTCATGTTCTCGGCGAACTGGTTGTTGGACATCTGTCTGTTCGTGTCGTTTGCCATAACTGCCTTCATGTGGGCGTGTGGGTCGTCGGTCTTGTTCATCACCGTCTTCAGGTTGGCGGGCTTGATGCCTTTGCAGTCAGGGCCCGAGCCAATCTTCACGAAGAAAATGTTGTTCGCGACGCCGACGACCTGACCATTCTTGTTGCTCATGGAGGCGGCTTTGGGGAGGCACGTCATGACCGTATGGCCTACCTCGATCTGCACACCCTGCGAGTCCAGCCGGCAGCCGGCGGATGGCAGGTCGGCCTGCGTCTGTAGAGGGAGGTCCGTCTTGCCACTGGTGTCACTGCAGACGTCGGGATCGCTGGCAGCATCACAGACCGCATCACTCTCCATCATCACCCTCGGCGGCAGCTCGCCCGTGCAGTCCTCGATGGCGTGGCTGTCAACGTGGGCTCCTCTTCTCGCGCACGCTGGTCTCGCAGATGACCGTTTTGTTACCCTCACGGTGCTCCAGCACCAACTTCGCGCTCGAGGAGGCGAGTCCGCCGACTATGGACCGGGTTAGGGTTGTGCGGGGCGCGTTCGTCTTGCCGTCCTTCATCTGCATGTTGTTCAGAATCCGCTGGTCGATGCTCGACTCGATCGCTATCCCCATCGTGTCGGCGAGCTTGCGGACGGAGATCTCCAGCCTCGCGATGCGGATCTCCAGCGGTGCAGTCTTGAAGGTCATGCCTGTTACAGGCACGGTGGTGTTGTGGCTCTTGATAACGTTCATCAGGTCGGCCAGGGTCTTGTTCTTATGGTTTATGAACGAAGGGTGGGCACGTTCGAAAAAGTACTGGTCCCGAATGGCACGCAGTCGGTGTTGTAGGAAACGGAGTCCTGCATCGCTGTCGCCCGTGGGGGGGGGGACGTGCCGATAATCGCGTCTGCCGCAAGCCAACACAACTTGGGAACGATGCGTGCCATCCGCGACCACGGGTCCGCCATGGCGCTGGCCGACGGGCATGGGTGCGGCGGCGGGTCGGACAACTTGCCGCCGTGCTTCAGCTCCTCGCCCACTGCACGCAAGAGTTGGCCATGTTCGTGTACTGCGTCGAACACTGCTCGGATGTCCACAACCGTATCGCCATCAACTCGAAACGGGGCGAGTGGGCGGTGTCGAGCAGAGAGACCACTCCGCGAGACCCTTCGAGCAGCAGCGGCGGACTTGGATGTGGCCCACTGCACCACGAACCCGTCGGTCACGGCGCCGAGCTTCAGCTCCGTGCATCAAGGTCGGCCACCAGCGCAACCGTCGGAGAAGGACCAGCCGGACGCGCAGCTGTTGAGGGCGTAGGCGAGAGCGAGGTTGGTGTAGGAGGCGTTGTGCAGGGATTGCAATTACTGCCTATCGCACCAACCTTGACTCGGGCTCGAAACCGGCGTCGCTTAGCCACCTGACTGCGTGTGTGCGGCGGCAGCCAGTGGGCGGAGCTGGTGTTCACATCCACGTGCCCATCGAGAGGTCGGCCCAACTTGCGGCAGCCACCATCGCGGCAGAGAGGAGGGAAGGCACCGATCTGTCGGGCGGCCACGCTCACAGGCCGGGCGCAGCCTTTGACTTGAGCCAAGATGGCGACGGAGGAAACAGAGGAGGAGGAGGAGGAGGAGGAGGAGGAGGAGGAGGAGGAGGGGGAGGAGGAGGAGGAGGAGGAGGAGGAGGAGGAGGACGAGGAGGAGGAGGAAGCCGTTGCCCGACTCGGGGGCGCGGATCCCCCGTCCGGCCCTCGACACAGGGGCGCGGGTCCCGCAGCGGGCGACCGCCTAATTAGGCGCGGCACCCGGCGACGGCCGCCGAGGAGCCCGCGACGCTCCTCGACGTCGACGCGTGCAGTGCTGCGGGGGGCTGCCCGACTGCGAGGCGGCCCAGGCAGGAGCAAATAGTTCTTTGATTCGCGGGTCGAGAGCGCACCTCTTTCTGGTCGAAGCTGAGCGTGCCGCGCAGAGCCTGAGTTGCGCAGCGAAGGGGGGGGAGAAGGGGGGCGCAGCCTCACGACGAAAGCAGGAGCAGAGGGAGGGGGGCGCGGAGATTGCCCAGGCCCACCTTCCCCCTGACCGCCGGCTCCTGCGCCCGCCGTGGGCCCCGCCACCCACGGCGGCGCCCCGTGGGGGGGCGCGGGGTGCCCGGCAGGCCAGGGCGGCCGCAGCAGCGCGAAGGTGTCCTGGTAGTAGCTCAGGGACGAGTAGGGCTCGAGCACCTGGAACGGAGGCCTGGCGGGAGCGTTGAACATCGACTCCATTCGGCGGCGAGCGAGGGGGGGAAGTGAGAGGGAGAAGGCCCCCTCAGACGGCGGAGGGACTTCTCAGAAGACCTCCAGCCTTCTGAGAGGGGAGGTTTTCTGTGTCTTCGGGGAAGGCTCAGGAAACTTCTCAGAAGGCCGGGGGACTTTCGAGCTTTCTGAGAAGGCCTTCTCCTTCTCACTTCCCCCTGGGCTCGCCGCCGAATAGATCAGATTGGGTCGGAACGTGCATCGAATCGGGCTGCAACGGTGCATACTCGAGATCGTATCGAGTCGGCTGGGCCAGGAGGCAAAACAGCGCCATGCAACCACGAGGCCGCATCCGACCGTCGGAACATCAGGAAACATATCGATCGAACCAGCCGAAGCCGATGCCACATCGGAACCATCTTGAGTCTGGCCTGGCGGGCGGGTCCTCAGAAGGGTCCTCCGACACCTCCAGCACCCGCAAGAAGGCTACGCCGTCCTGGTCTCCGCCGGGGTGGGCGCACGTCTCGCTCGACACGATGCGGACGCTCCCGCCGTACAGCGGGGCGCCCAGCACCATGGTCTCGTACTCGCCGCCCTCGCCGCAGACGTGCACCCCCCACTTGCGGCCAAGCCCCAGGAGGTACTCCGAGAAGCTCGGGGTCAAGATGGACTGCCCTACGTGCCGCGCCTCAAGTCCCATCGACGCAACTTTTACTATGCGCGCATCAAGTCCGCCATCGATCATCTGACGCAAGAGCCGTGGTTGCTCCTGCATCCACAAGAACGCCAACGATTTCAGCCCCAGCCGCGCACATACGTTCTCTACTCGCACCCGCTGGTAGTTGCTGAGAATGGCGCCGCAGCTTACCGCCTGCATCCCTGGGTGCTCCCTCAAAACGTCCTGGAGAAGCAGAGTGAGGTCCTCCACCTCGTCGCCCTCTTGAGGTATGTAGTCCTGCGAAGATATGCCCTTGGGCTCTCCAGAGATGACGCGCCGAACTAGAGGCAGCCCCAACGATGCTGCAATGGCATCGATGAGGTCCGAGCCCACGGTCTGGTACATGTACGAGTCCAGCTCGTTGACCCCTGCAGGAGGCGCCAAATTGGCAACGCAAAGAACCTCGTGGCCGAAATGCCGGCAATAATGCAGGTTCCAGATCGAATCCTTGCCTCCACTAATGAGGCCGACGACGCGCATCGGAACGTGGTACAAGACGCCACTCAACAATTCCGAAACGATAAGTAGGTCAGCGTGACGGCACAACAAAAAAACAACAATACTCACAATCGCTTCGAAATGGACTGGCCCTTGGGGAAGGAACTTGTGCTGAATCTGCGCTGAACTGTGGCACCGACCCGTGAAACCGAATCTGAAATTCCTTGACCTCCGCTGCGCTTCCCTACCGCTTCGAACCCTTGAGCTGCAGACGCAGTGGAGGGCCCCCGTGCGGCTTGGGGGAGCGACCGCGGCAGCTTGGCACCTCGAGCCGAGTATCCACACCATAGTGATGACAGCAACTGGACCAAGCGGCGCGCCTGGAACCACCCAGTGCTGCTGCAGATGGCTGGCACTGAGAGCTCGGGATGCGAGACTGTCGACCAGAGCGCCTTCAGCACGGCCCAGATCAGCCTTGACTAAGAACACCACGCACGCCTCCTACAAGTCAGGGCAAAAGGTATACACGCAAGCCTGCAGGCATACAGGTGTACGGACATGTGCAGGTCTACAAAAAACCTTGATCGGCACCGAAAGCCGCACACAAGTGAGTACAGTGTGGTGTTCATCCACACGCACAGTCACTCACATGTGGATTGGTTCGGAAGACAGAGCAACTCATACCAGTAAACACTATACATGTTCAGCTGTACTGTGATTTTGCGACCTTCCAGCAGAAATGCCTCTCCCTCATATACTGCACGCCTTGCCGTCCTATTTACATCATTCTCTTCCTCGCGTTCCCTTTCATTCTCAGTCTAAATATGTACTCTATTGTTTCTCATGTTCTCTCTCTCTCGCTCTGTCGTCCTACACCTCTCTCGAACCCAACTCCCTGCTTGAGGGAATGGGAACGACTCGTAACGGAATGGGCACGTACAGGCTTAAACCGTATGCGATAATTCGTACACGTATTCCAACAACAGAAGCCGTACGATATGTCCGGCCAAGACAAACACGTCATACATGTTAACGCCAAATTGTGTGTGCTAGGTTACGTATGTAAACGCCACTGGTGTTTTCATTCCGCTCCCAGAACTTGATATTCATATAGTACGCATATACGGTGTATAATTAATGCAATACGGACGATACTGATGATACTATCACTGATAAGGCGAATGCTAAACATAGTAGTAGTAGTAGTAGTAGCAGCAGCAGCAGCAGCAACAGCAGAAGCAGCAGCAGCAGCAGCAACAGCAGCAGTAGTAGTAGTAGTAGTAGTAGTAGCCGTCGTAATCGTAGTAGTAGTAGTAGTCGTCGTCGTCGTCGTCGTCGTAGTAGTAGTCGTACTCGTAATGATAGTAGTAGTAGTAGTCGTAGTAGTCGTAGTCGTAGTCGTAGTCGTAGCCGTAGTCGTAGTAGTAGTAGTAGTAGTAGTAGTAGTAGTAGTAGTAGTAGTCGTAGTAGTAGTAGTAGTAGTAGTAGTAGTAGTACTACTACTAGTAGTAGTAGTAGTAGTAATAGTAGTAATAGTAGTAGTAGTAGTAGTAGTAGTAGTCGTAGTAGTCGTAGTAGTAGTAGTAGTAGTAGTAGTAGTAGGAGTAGTCGTAGTAGTAGTAGTCGTAGTAGTAGTTGTAGTAGTAGTAATAGTAATCGTAGTAGTAGTCGTAGTAGGTAGTAGTAGTAGTGGTAGTAGTAGTAGTAGTAGTAGCAGAGTCGTAATAGTAGTAGTAGTAGTAGTAGTAGTAGTAGTAGTATAGTAGTAGTAGTCGTAATAGTAATCGTAGTAGTAATAATCGTAGTAGTCGTAGTAGTCGTAGTTAGTTAGTAGTAGTAGTAGTAGTAGTAGTATTAATCATAGATTTGTAGTAGTTAGTAGTAGAGGAGTAGTAGTCGTCGTGTAGTAGTGGGGTAGTAGTAGTAGTAGTAGTAGTAGTAGTAGTTAGTAGTAGTAGTAGTAGTAGTAGTAGTAGTTGTTATTGTAGTAGTAGTAGTAGTAGTAGTAGAAGAAGTAGTAGTAGTAGTAGTAGTAGTAGTAGTAGTCAGTAGTAGTAGTATTAGTAGTAGTAGTGTAGTAGTAGTAGTAGTAGTAGTAGTAATAGTCAGTGGTTAGTAGAGTAGTAGTAGTAGTAGTAGTAGTAGTAGTAGTAGTAGTAGTAGTAGTAGTAGTAGTAGTAGTAGTAGTAGTAGTAGTAGTAGTAGTAGTAGTAGTAGTAGTAGTAGTAGTCGTAGTCGTAGTCGTAGTAGTAGTAGTAGTAGTAGTAGTAGTAGTAGTAGTCGTAGTAGTAGTAGTAGTAGTAGTAGTAGTAGTAGTAGTAGTAGTAGTAGTAGTAGTAGTAGTAGTAGGAGTAGTAGTCGTAGTAGTAGTAGTAGTAGTAGTAGTAGCAGTCATAGTAGTAATAGTAGTAGTAGTCACAGTAGTAGTAACAGTAGTAGTAATAGTAGTAGTTGTAGTAGTAGTAGTAGTAGTAGTAGCAGCAGTAGTAGTAGTAGTAGTAGCAGTAGTCGTAGTAGTAGTAGTAGTAGTAGTAGTAGTAGTCAGTAGTAGTAGTAGTAGTAGTAGTAAGTACTAGTAGTAGTAGTAGTAGTAGTAGTAGTAGTAGTAGTAGTAGTAGTAGTAGTAGTAGTAGTAGTAGTAGTAGTAGTAGTAGTAGTAGTAGTAGTAGTAGAAGTCGTAGTAGTAGTAGTAGTAGTAGTAGTAGTAGTAGTAGTAGTAGTAATAGTAGTAGTAGTAATAGTAGTAGTAGTAGTAGTAGTAGTAGTAGTAGTAGTAGTAGTAGTAGCAACAGCAGCAGCAGCAGGAGCAGTAGTCGTAGTAGTCGTAGCAGTAATACTAACAATGAATAAACCCTTCTGGAATGGTCCCATCCGCAACCATTTGGGAACACTTTCTGATACCCTCCTGGTTCGCTTCCCAGAGGCGGCCCAGAGAGGCCAGAGGGCCCCAACAAACGCCCAGTAGGGTTCAAGAGGCCTCCAAAACAGCCCAAGAGCGCTCCAAGACGCCCAAGATGGCCACAAGACGGTCCAAGAGGCCCAATAGCAGCCCCAAGAGCGCTCCAAGAGGACCCCCAAGAGGGCCCAAAAGGGCAAACATCCGTGTTTTCACTTGTGTTTTCAATGATTTCAAGAGGCCAGCAAACGTTGACTTTCCATAAACTTTTGAACAATTTTGGCGCTTCCGCCTGTTCCGCTTCCCGACGATGCAAGACGCCCCAAGCGGCCCGAGGGTCGCCCCAAAACGGTCCAACAGGTTTCAAAAGCGCCCCAGGACGGCCCCAGGACGGCTCCAAAACTGCCGAAGAGACGTCCGAGACGGCCCGAGAGGGCCCCAACGGCGGCCCAGGATCGGGAACGTGAACCGAGAACCCGAGATCTTTGCCCCAGGAGACCTCCAGGAGGCCTCAAGAGGTCTCCAAGAAGTCCCAAAGAGGGTCCAAAGAGCCCCAAGAGAGGCCCCCCCCCCAAATGAGAAAAACATAGGAATTCCAACATTTCAATATTTTTTCCAGTTCGCATGGCACCTTCGCTACGCTTGCAAAACAAAGAAACAATATTTCCTCTTCCTCCTCCTCTTCCCCCTCCTCCTGCTCCTCCTCCTCTGCAGCCTCCCCCACCCTCTCCAACTCCTCATCCTCCTCCTTCTCCCCAAAGGAACCCCTTCACCTCCCCTTCTCCTCCCTCTTCCTCCGGCTACGTCCAGCCGCGGCGAATGAAAAGGTACTCGAAGTGCCTCTTGGGCCTGTCTGATTCCGCCGTGGGTGGACCGTAGGAAGTCTTGGAAGCCACTTGGGCCGTCTTTGTGGTTCTTGGAAGCTCCGGAGAAGAAGTATCACAACATAGCGATCTCCAAGAGTTCAGTTCGACCATCCAGCCGCCTAGCTAGGACTTGAGCGCGCGCGAAGCGCGCGATGGTTCGAGTATATATATATTTATGTGTATGTATGTATGTATGTATGTATGTATGTATGTATGTATGTATGTATGTATGTATGTATGTATGTATGTATATATATATAATCTTTGGGCGATTGGGGGGGCCTCATGGGCCGTCTTGGAGCGTCGGGAAACGGAAAAAGCGAGAACGCCAAAATCATTCTTAAAACATTCAGGGGGAGCAGTTAGTTGTGCCTCTCGGGGCACTCTTGGGAGGCCTCGTGGAGGCGTCTTGGGGCGTGTTGGGGGCATCTTGGGACGTCTGGAGGCCACTTGGGCATCTTCGAACGATCTTTCGGCGATTCGGGGTCCTCTTGAACAATCTTGGAGCCTCTTGGGGCCCTCTTGGCCTGTCTTGCAGCTTTCTGTCCCCCCAATGAAGCTTCGTTGCGGGCCCAGGGGGGGGGGGTCAAACTGCCGATTTGGGGTCCCTGGGGGGGGGGCATGGGGGGGGAAAAATCTCACACGCCTGGAGGCCCACAGGGGGCCGGCGGATTTAGAGCGGACACCGTCGAGGATGAGGAGGAGGTGGAGGAGGAGGAGTAGGAGGAGGTGGAGGAGGAGGAGGTGGAGGAGGAGGAGGAGGAGGAGGAGGAGGAGGAGGAGGAAGACCGAGTATTGAGTGAGGGAGAGACGGAAGAGGATCGAGTGCCAAGGGGTGTTTATTTTGAACGGGAAGCGCCTCTGGCGTGAACGACTTTTTTTGTTATATATATATATATATATATAGATATGAGAATTAAGGTGTAATCCCACCAGCCCTTTGGGCGACAGGTGGTCTAAGGAGGGTCTGTTTCCTCTTCCACGACCCCTCTTCTTTCGGGGAGGGGAACCCCTCCCCGCCCCTCCCTGGGATTTTTTTTTGGAGGCGGCCCGATGTGTCAGAGGGTCCCTTTTCGGCCCCTGGGAGGGTCACTTTTTGACACCCCTCACGAGGATCGTGGCCCCCGAGGGGGGGAGCTACATTTAGGACCCCCCCTCTTTTGACCGACCGCCTCCAAGATGGCCCAAAGAGGCCCTCCAGGGCTCCCAAGAGGTTCCCAAGAGGGTCCCACGAACGCCCCAAGAGGCCCCAAGAAGGCTCCAAGAGGCCCCCGAGAGGCCCCCCAAAGGCCCCCGAGCGGCCTCAGAGAGCCCAACAAGATGACCTCCAAGATGGCTCAAGATAGCCCAAGCTGGCCCAAGATGGCTTCCAACATGCTTCAAGAGGCCCCAACACGCCGTCCAGGTCGGCCTCCCTCGCTGTTTGACTATGCGTGTCTCTTCCTCTCTCTCCCCGTTAGCTCTCATGGGCATCGTTTCTGGATGGGCTGGTGGGGATACTTTTTTGATTGCGAGTGACGCGGAAGAGGCCGCGCACCGTCAACAGGGTCGATCAGCGGAAAAATGAACAGGCCACTACGCGGACAGCACAAGTGGAAGGACTGGTGGGGATACTTTTTTGATCTGCGGCTCCAAGGACGATTCCAGAGAGCGGGTCGTATCGAGCATGGGGCAGCACGCAAGATAATTGCCAGCGGGCCAAAAGCCGACGCTGGAGTGCACAGGCGCCAGAGAGAGCGCGGGGGAAATACACTTTTGACCGCGGCTCCAAGGATGAACCCAGAGAGCGGGCCGGAACTAATTGCCAGCGGGCCAAAGCCAACGCCGGAGAGCACCTGAGCCAGAGAAGGCGTAGCAAGCTTGGGGGGCCAAGCGAGATAATTACCAGCGGGCCAAGAGCCAACGCTGAAAACTGGTGGGGATACGCGAAGTGTCAAGACATTTCCTTTACTAATAGCTCCGCGCCGCACTTGGGAACTCGCTGGCGGATGACGGGAAGCGTCTTCGAGGTACGAGAAGCGAGCTGGACATTGTGGCTGAAATTGTACCTGTAAGAAATTATCAAAGATCCGCGCGGGCGCCGCAAAACATGGGATTCGGGATTGCACGGGGCTTTTCGTTGGCGGATGACGAGAAACGTCTTCGAGGTACGAGAAGCGAACTGGACGTTGTGGCTGTGGACATCGCCGCCGGACCACAGGCCCAGTTCCTCAGAAGACAGGCGAGAGCCCCCCAAGTATAAGCACCGCTTGGGGGAAAACGGTTGACACGAATTATCTATCTTTGTTCTGAACTACTGGAGCTGTAGCGCACCTCGGGGCCCGCCGCACGCGCGAAATGCCCCCTTGACGCTCCAGCCGCGCTGGCCGCGTGCCCTGCAGAAGGCCCCTTCCCCGCGCGTGCTATACTCGCGTGCTCCCTAAAAGGCCCCCGCGGCGCGCGACAAGCACCCAGCTCGAGGCTCCGCCCCGCCCGGGGGGCCCCAGCCCGCGCGCGACGAGGGCGCCGATCGGGCCGCCCCGGGCGCAGCGGAGACTCTGGTCACTGCGTTCGGGGCCCCGCCGAAGCCAGGACAGCCCTCCCCGGGCTGGGGTGAGGCGCGCGCGGTCTTCCTGTGCTCCCCGGATGGCAGCTGCGGGCGGCCATTCTCAAGAGGCCTTCCAGCCTGGGGTGCCTGGCCGCGTCGCGACTGGGTGGCGTTTTGAGCGCTTCGCAAAAAGAAGGCTCAGAGAAGGGATGTTGGGGAGGAGGAAGAAGAGCCGAGGTGCCAGGAACGTTCCCAGAAGTTTCAGGGAGCAGCTGGGTTCAGCGGGAGTTCCAAGGGCTTGGCGGATTGGTGGGGGTTGGGGAGGAAAACAAAAGAAGACTCCTGCGCCTCCTCCTCCTCCTCCACCTCCTCCTCCTCTAGCCGTTCTACCTTCCAATCCCGTCCTTGAACTGTGCACGTGCTGCCGACGAGAGGGAAGAGAGACTCGGGTAGGAGGAGAAGGATCAAGAAGAGGAGTAGCACGAGTAACAGCCGACCCATTTCTCAAGAACGAATGCTCCTATCCAAGCGGAACGAATGATGGCGATGAGGAAGTCCCGCGGATCCTCGGGGGCTGCACTCGTGTGCAGGGGGGCGCAACATGAGGACCTTCGGTCTCAACGTGGATGCTGCAGGTAGACATTGAAACTGAAGTGCGCCAGCTTGGGATGCAGGCGTCTCCTCGGCCTCTCATTTGAGTACTGGAAGGGTGTGTTGGGGCTTCCTAGGGGGCGTTTTGGGGGACTCTGGGGGGACAACTGGGAGCTTCCTGCTTTTTTTGGTCTGCTACGCGTCGTTCTCGAGTAGTCGCGCTTGGCGTTGCTAGGAAAGAAAGAATCCTCGTCGAGGACGCAGGAAATCTGGGAACGCCTGCGGATTCACGACGAGTCCCTGTGGCGTGTTGTACCAACTGCAGGACCCAGCGAAGCCGATCGAGTCAATGACTGGCTCGGCGCACTCTCGCTGCCTCGCCGTCCACGCTCCAGGCCAGCAGCGGCGAAGGTAGAAGAAGAACTCGCACACACAAGAACTTCTGAAGCTCCGGGCGGGTCTCTCGGATCTGTGCTGGACCTCCCTTCCCGAACGGCCTGGCGTGCGGAGCGCGCCAGGGGCGGCGCCAGAGGCGCCGCCAGGGGGGCACAACGCCTGACTAAGACATCCGCGCGGACCCCCGAAGGTGTGTGCTTATGCCGTTTCTTCTTCTTCTTCTTCGACGGGGGAAGATCGGCGCCTGGCAGCCGTGCAGCCTCGAGGCGCACCCGCGCGGCAGAGCCGAGACCTCGCGCCACAGCAGTCCGAAGCGCGCCTCAGTCTCGTGCGTCTGCGTCGGCGGCTCCGCTTTGCACACGCCCAATGGCGACGGCCCTGGTTGGCAGAAGCCAAGGCTGGGCATAAAAAATTAGCCAGACAGAATACCCAGCCATATGCAGCTGCGAATATCGGGCGCGGGCGTCGGGCGCACTCGAACCCTGCCGCTGGGGCCTTCGGAGGAGCTCCCTATGGGGCCACGAACCGTGTGAGGGGTGTGCCACATGGGGCGTCGGGCGCATGCGGACCTTGCCACTGGGGCCTTCGGCGAAGCTCATGGGCCTTCGGTGGATCTCCCTATGGGGCCACGAACCGTGTGAGGGGTGTGCCACATGGGGCGTCGGGCGCATGCGGACCCTGCCACTGGGGCCTTCGGTGGATCTCCCTATGGGGCCATGAACCGAGCGAGGGGTGTGTGGGGCAGGAATGGGAGGGAGCGGGGGGAGGAGGAGGGGAAAGGAGGAGAGGAGGAGAGGACGCGGGGCGCTGTCGCTTCAAAACGAGGACCCAACACTACAGGATCATTGGGAATTCTATCGTGATGGGCATATCCTGCTTGAATGGCTGGCCTGACTGTCCAGAAACATCGCTCTGGCAGCTGTCGTGTGAAACGCATGCGGGACGGCGCCATCTGCGAGTACTTTACACTGCTTGTGGACAGGCACCCTTTCCGCCGTACCCGAGAGTGGCAACGAAACATGCTGGCACGAAAAGCACGGATCCTGAGGGAAACGGGCCCTGGATCCAGAAGCCTTTCCTCCCGGGCAATGGCTTGAAAGTCCCGGGGCCAATGGAGGGCCCAGGGAGGGCACAAGCGGCGAAAAAGCTCAGGACCCGCTTCCCTCAGGACCCCGTTCTTGCATGGCGAACATCCTTCCTTGCCCTGTGGCTCCAAGAGTCCCAATCATGACCGGAAGCATGGATCCAGCGGAGTTTATCGTGACCAGTGAGGGTTGGCAAATACGTCGACCGAAAAGGCACGCCGATCGCCTCGCGCATTCAGTGAGCACAGCGATCACCACTTGCGCAGGAGATGGCTCGACTCGTAGGCAACGCCCCCAGAGCTTCAGGCGCACGCGGCGTGCAATCACTGCCAAACGCGCGGTGCGAAGCCCAGTCGGCGCCCACCCATCACCTCCGCGTTCCCCGCATCATCCCAGCGGCCCCGCATGCAAGCACGTTGAAGTCTGCGCGGACGCTCGTACGTTTACTTTAGTAGTGGAAACAATTGGTTTTCACAATGTTTGGTCTTTAGAAGCTCTGCGTGGCGACGCCCCCGTCGCCACGCGTGCCCTCTGCGTGCCTGCGGGGGCGCCGCCACGTAGAAGTACTGGAGACCGAGCATTTGGGGCGTCGCTACGCACGCCCTCTGCGTGGCTGCGACCAGTTGTTAAAACCCTAAAACCAATTAAATTCACTAACAAAGTACCTTCATGCATTCTTTTCTTCTTCGGGCGTCGGCCGCGCAGATGGTGCGCACCCATCACCTCCGCATCTGCCACCGAGCAGCATGCAACCGATCCCCACCCCCACTGGCTTGACACTGCCCCCACTTGCCGACTGACCTCTCTCGGCGGCGAGCCCAGGGTAAGGAAGGTGAGAAGGAGAAGGCCCTCCCAGAAGGCCTGGAAGTCTCCCGGCCATCCGAGACACAGAACACTCCTCGAAAGGCGCGAGGCCCTCCGAGAAGCCCCGCCGCCTTCTGAGAAGGCCTTGTCCTTCTCGCTCACCCCGCTCGCTCGCCGCCGAGACTCTCAGGAGGGGATGTACGCTGTTCCCTTCGGGCCTCACACCCATCACCGCATCACCCGCCACACGACCCCAGTCGCAGTGCGTGCGTGCCACCGCCAGGTGCCGGCCGACCCGCGCCTCAAGCTGCTGCCGGTGGCCCCTGGCCCAAGGTGGCCCCAGCTGCTCCATGGCGGCCCTGGCCGGCCCCCGCGCCCCCCGCGCGAGGCCCTGGAGGGCCTGGTGGGGCTCCCAAGTGGCGCGACCGAGCCTGGGACGCCTCGGCCCAGCACCGCTGGGGCAAGTGCCCGCTCAACGCAAGTTTTCGGAGGTCCGGCAGACTGCTCGCATCGGCGCGCCGTCCCTGGCGCTCTCTGCGCGGCAGGACGAGGGTCGACCCGCGAAATCCATGGGGGCGTCGGGAAGGTTATGTGATGCAGCTGAGCTTATTTCTGCATCCCACCAGATCCTGGGTGCAGGTGGTCCAACGAGATCCTTCTCTCCTCTTCCAGAACCTCCTTCGTCCCCTGCGGGGAGGGGTTTATCAGTGTTCCCTAGGGACAAACAAACACCCTACCCCCACCCGACCGGCGGCCAACCCGCACCCGTCGCTGTCAACAAAAACTATACGACATACACGCTGCCTCCAAATCTGCAACATGCTCGGGCGCCCCGCGACCACGACGTATGGTTTTTGAAAGGGATATCCAGGTGCTACTTGTGTGCTGGGAAGGCAGGTGGGAATGAGCGAGGCGGCCTGTGCCGTGTGAGCAGAAGGTGTCTTGATCACTGTTCACCACTGTCCCCATTAATAGAAACACACCCTCCCCCAGGCGACCGGCAGCCGACCAGAATCCGTGCCCCCCCCCACCATGCCTGTGAGTGCACTTTGGGGAAAAATCTTGGGTCATGCTGGGTGGGGGGTCGCGGTCTCTTTGCATTATTCCCAAACATCCTGTGGTCTTGGGTCCTCTCTTTGAAGAGACGGTCCTCTCCTCTCCTCTCCTTTCCTCTCCTCTCCTCTACTCCTCCCTCTCCTCCCTCCATTTCTCTTGGAACACCCCTCACACGCTTCGTGGCTCCATAGGGAGCTCCACCTAAGGTCCCAGGGGCGCAGTCCGCATGGCGGCACCGCCCCATGTTGGTACACCCCTCACACGCTTCGTGGCCCCCATAGGGAGCTTCATCTAAGGTCCCAGTGGCGCAGTCCGCATGGCGGCGCCGCCCTATTTTGGCACACCCCTCACACGTTGGTGGCCCCATAGAGAGCTCCACCTAAGGTCCCAGAGGCGCAGTCCGCATGGCGGTGCCGCTCCATTTTGGCACACCCCTCACACGTTTCGTGGCCCCCATCGGGATCTCCACCTAAGGTCCCAATGGCGCAGTCCGCATGGCGCCGCCGCCCTATTTTGGCACACCCCTCACACGTTTGGTGGCCCCATAGAGAGCTCCACCTAAGGTCCCAGAGGCGCAGTCCGCATGGCGGCGCCGCTCCATTTTGGCACACCCCTCACGCGTTTCGTGGCCCCCATCGGGATCTCCACCTAAGGTCCCAGTGGCGCAGTCCGCATGGCGCCGCCGCCCTATTTTGGCACACCTCTCACACGTTTCGTGGCCCCATTGGGAGCTCCACCTAAGGTCCCAGTGGCGCAGTCCGCATGGCGCCGCCGCCCCATTTTGGTACACCCCTCACACGTTTCGTGGCCCCATTGGGAGCTCCACCTAAGTTCCCAGGGGCGCAGTCCGCATGGCGGCGCCGCCCCATTTTGGCACACCCTCACACGTTTCGTGGCACCATATGGAGCTCCACCTCAGGTCCAGTGGCGCAGTCCGCATGGCGGCGCCGCCCAATTGTGGCACACCCCTCGCACGTTTCGTGGCCCCCTAGGGATCTCCACCTAAGGTCCCAGTGGCGCAGTCCGCATGGCGGAGCCGCTCCATTTTGGCACACCCCTCACACGTTTCGTGGCCCCCATAGTGGGCTCCACCTAAGGTCCTGCGCATCGCCGCTCGCCCCTCTCACGTTTCGTGGCCCCAGAGTGAGCTCCACCGAAGGTCCCAGTGGCGCAGTCCGCATGGCGTCCTCGCCCCATTTCCGCACATCTCTTACACGTTTTGGTGGCCCCATAAAGGGGGCTCTACATCCGGCCCAGGTAGCAGCGCCTGCATTGCGGCCCCGCCCCATTTCGGCACACTCTTCACGCGCTTCGTGGCCCCATAAGGAGATCCACCGAAGACGATATTAACAACGACGGTATTCACAACTGCATATGGTTGGGTCCTTCGCCAGGCTATTTTTTGATCGGGACGGCGAGGGTGCCCGCATGTCGCCTCCAATGCGCAGGGGCCACCATCCGTGGTAAAAAAACATTACCAAATGCACTTCGCGGCAAACTCTAAATACTGCGCGGGCACTCCGCGATCACTTTGTATGGTTTTTGATCGGGACCCCGGGGGTGCTGTTATATGGCCTGCTGTGTGCAGGCACACCAAGCACCATGATGGCCAGCCACCCCGCCGCGACTGCGCATTGGTTTTCGACGGTGATGGTGGGGGCCAACATGTTTCCCGATGTGTATTGTCACGTGCGCGGGAGCACCTGAACGTGGCGCACCTGGCGCGGCTAGAGCACGCGGCACACATGGCGCACGTGGAGCACGGGGCGCATCTGGCGCAACAGGCGTGCCTGGCTCGCTTGGGCCCCAGGCGCTCGTGGCGCGCCTGGCACGCGTGGCCTACCTCGCCACAGCGTCGCGCACATGGGGTCTATTTTGGTTCCTTGTAGCTGTCCATGCCCCACCCGCCCTACCCACCCGCTAATTTCCGCCCGATCCGCCTGCCCGCCTGCGTCCGTTTCTTGTTTTCCTGCCTCTCTCTCTTCCCTCCTTCGTGCTGTTCTCTTTCGTCCGCCATCCTCCTCCCTCCACCTTATCCCTTCCTCGCTCTTTCCCTGTTCCATCCACCCCTTTCTGTTCAGGGGATGCGCGGACTACGCGTGGCAGGTAAGGAAGATTCGGAAGATATTCTCCCCACAAGGAGTGCGATCCAAGACGAAACGGGCGGGTTTCAAGGGTCTGGGATATCCGTGCGGAATGACAAGCGTGCAAATGAGAACGAATAGTCTTAACATGGTTTAGCTGTCACTACCGGAAAATAAATATGGTTGATCCCCCCTCGAGTGATTGTGCTTTGTCAATGAAAAGTGCCCCTCCCAGGGGTCGCACCCCGTTTTTCCTTCCAGGGCAACTGCTGAAGCTCGGACTGTGCCCCTGCCCCCCTCCCCCCCTCCGAGCTGCAACAACAACGGCTCCCGCCCAAGCTTTCCTCACAATCTGCTCACAATCGTGCCCTCGCGCGGGACTCCATCACAATGTATCCAGGGATCGCGCTCTCGCGTGGGACTTTCTCTCGATTTGCTCATACGCCGCGCCCTCGACACTCAGGAATCACGCTCTCTTCCTAACGACTTACCTGGGAATCGGGCTATCGCTCGAGACTTCCCCTCGATTCATGCAAGACGAACGCTTCGACGACCCGCCCGCTCGACCCGCCCGTCTGGGCCCGCCCGCTTGACCCGCCCGATAAGGTCCGCCTGCCCAACCCGCCCGTCTGGTTCAGCCGCTGGTTTTTTTCCACTCCTGATCCCCCTCCTACTAATCTCTCTCTTGCTTAATCCTTCTCTCCTCCCTCCCTTCCCCTGTTTTAGGGGTTGCACCAACAACGTGTGGCAAGTAGGGAAGGTATACCCCCACGGGGGGTTCAATCGAAGACGCGGTATCGACGGTTTCGGATATGCATGTTGACTGCGACGCGAGCAGATGAGAGCGGCCACTCTTAAAATGTTGGTCGAATTCGCATGTGTTAAACATGATTATTGTTGACCCCCCTACGTTGCCCCTTCTGTTTGTTCAATTGAAATGCGCCTCCCAGGGCTCGCCCTTGGCTTGTTTACGATGTAAAATCTTGTGCGTGAGACCGTGCCAGGTTCTGATCCATACCCCAGTGAACAGGTCCACACCCAATTGAGCTGGTCCGTTCCCCGGTCGCACAAGGGAGAGGTCCAGCTTGCGGGCGTTACTATGGCAAATGTTTCGAGAGGGGTCGTGCTGGAACGGTCTGAAAACCACCAAACTTGTAGACAGCTGTGCAACCATCGAATGTTTCCAGGAAGTCACCGGGGAATGAAAAAGTCGGTGCGGGTTGTAGTGGTGGTATTAGCGGTGGTAGTAGTAGTAATATTAGTAGTAGTAGTAGTAGAAGTAGTAGTAGTAGTAGTAGTAGTAGTAGTAGTAGTAGTATTAGTAGTAGTAAAAGTAGTAAAAGTAGTAGTAGTAGTAGTAGTAGTAGTAGTAGTAGTAGTAGTAGTAGTAGTAGTACTAGTAGAAGTAGTAGTAGTAGTAGTCGTAGTAGTCGTAGTAGTAGTAGTCGTAGTAGTAGTAGTAGTAGTAGTAGTAGTAGTAGTAGTAGTAGTAGTAGTAGTAGTAGGAGTGGTTGTAGTAGTGGTGGTAGTCGCAGTAGTAGTAGTGGTAGGGGTAGTAGTAGTAGTAGTAGTAGTAGTAGTAGTAGTAGAGTAGTAGTAGTAGTAGTACTAGTAGTAGTTGTAGTAGTAGTAGCGGTATAGTAGTAGTATGGTAGTAGTATAGTAGTAGTAGTAGTAGTAGTAGTAGTAGTAGCAGTAGTAGTTAGTAGTAAGTAGTAGTAGTAGCCAGTAGTAGTATTAGTAGTAGTAGTAGTAGTAGTAGTAATAGTAGTCGTAGTAGTAGTAGTAGTAGTAGTAGTAGTCGTCGTAGTCGTAGAAGTAGTAGTAGTAGTCGTCGTAGTAGTAGTAGTAGTAGTAGTAGTAGTAGTAGTAGTAGTAGTGGTAGTAGTACTAGTATAGTGGTAGTAGTAGTAGTAGTAGTAGTAGTAGTAGTAGTAGTAGTAGTAGTAGTAGTAGTAGTAATAGTCGTAGTACCAGTAGTGGTTGTAGTAGTAGTCGTCTGAATAGTAGTCGTATTCGTAGTACTCGTAATACTAGTAGTAACAGTAGTAGTAGTCGTCGTCGTCGTCGTCGTCGTCGTCGTCGTCGTAGTAGTAGTAGTAGTAGTCGTAGTAGTAGTAGTAGTAGTAGTAGTAGTAGTAGTTATAGTAGTAGTAGTAGTAGTAAGTAGTAGTAGTAGTAGTAGTAGTAGTAGCAGTAGTAGTAGTAGTAGTAGTAGTAGTAGTAGTAGTAGTAGTAGTAGAGTAGTAGTAGTAGTAGTAGTAGTAGTAGTAGTAGTAGTAGTAGTAGTACTACTACTAGTAGTAGTAGTAGTAGTAGTCGTAGAAATAG